CATACTTTTTCCCCACCCTGTATATTGCTTCCATTCTTTTATTATTAGTCGCCATGATACTCAAATTTATCGATATCTAACGCAAAATTTAAAATTTTGATTTTTTTTCAACTGATATTCTATATAATATTTATCTACTTGTAAATTTACTGATTTCCATTTATAATTATTTTTCGGCAATTCGCGACTTCGTTGAATACTTCTGTGACCAAAAATAATATTATAATTTCATATTTTAAATAAAAAATAAATAAAAAATGAATATTAGCAAAAACATAAAATATGCTGAAATTTTTGAGCGGTAGTGTAATCGTAAACTTAAATTAAAACACTGCCCGTAAAAATGCTAAAATGTTTTCTTTCATAACTACTTATTAATATATATTTCATATTCTTTGTGACACATCAAATAAATTTTTCTTTCTTTCTTTCTCATTGTGCTTAAAAGACATTTTTTTCTTTTTTATATTTGTAACAATGAGACATATACTTAATTCAGTTAAAATCCATTGAATGCTATCTTCAAGTAGCACCAACATTATGTTATGCAACCCCAGACTAGAAATTCGGAACTCGAACTCCTCCTGACAGTTTTCCTGACAATAAGAGCACCCTTGACTAGCAAACTGCCGAAAGTTAAATTAACTTTCTCCGACATTTCGCAGTAGTATTGTCTCTTTTGTCGATAGTTCGATCAAATCCCACATAAGACATCTCCCAAGATTTTTCCTCCCGATACATCGAGGGACTAGGATAACATACAGCAAGAAATCACGAAAGATTAGAAGGGAGCAGAGACGAAAGAGACGAATGTGTATCAAAGCACAATTTTGGAAGTTGGCTGACGATGAGCTCTAACTAAGTTCAGCCCCGCAAAATTGCCCTCGCGACAAGAACTTCGGAAGAACTGTAGTTATGAACGCAACCTGACGATGTTAATCAAGAAGTTGCAGCGACGAGGTCGTAAACGTCGCGGACAGGCAATCCTTTTTTGTCGCTATACTGTACCGTGTTGCCTGATAAAATGTTTAGGTAGGACGAAAGTCCGTGAGCGGAGCATTATTTTCAAAATTCGCGAAGAATCCGCGGAGTATACGTATACTCGCATAAATTACGAATCCGTAGTAATAAGAAACGCAATAGCGTTATCTTTGTCATTCATCTCTGTGTAATGATTATTCGCAAATTATTTCGGATTATTGTAACTCTTTTTATGTCGGGGAAGATTTCATTGTACGTTACGATTCACTATACGTTAATCAAGCTTATCAGTCTTAATGCGTAAATTAATTTCCAAGTGATTAACGATCGAGATTACATTATTTGCGTTCATAAACGTACTGATTATATTTAGATTATATTACTACAAATATAATCTATACTAAGGTATACTAACTATACTAAGGGGTTATTATTAAATTCTAACATGTACGTTTGAAATGTATTCATTTATTTCAGGCATACTGAAAGAAAAGTGTGATTATAATTGCATGATAAATATAATTAAAAGCTCCGTTTTTATAGTATTATTATTATAATGTTAGAAATAATATGTAATTATAGTTCCATATATATAAAAAGACATATGATTAGCGCTGAAAATGACTATAATTTATAGTTAAAAATGTTTAAAAACAATATAATTACACTAGTTTAAATAATTTTTAATTGCAAGAAAAAGAAATAATTTTTAAAAATATATTTTAAAGTTCTAAGCTTGAATTTGTTGTTAAAAAATTCCACCAGGTCAAATTTTAAAGATGTCATTTTTAAGATATAGCATGTCTTTCTGAATAATTTAAATTCGACAAATGATGAGCAAGATGAACGTTTCCACCAGAATTTGATGATAATCGAGAAATGTTAACAGAGAAAGAAAAGGATATTGAAACGAGAATTAGATGCTAGACTGGTAAACTCTAATATGTGAAACCAAATCCAAGTCATATAAAAACAAAAATTATACTTGTGGTTTATTTTCTAATTTCAATAAAACTTCATTATATTTGAAAAAAAAATGTTTTTTCTTATATCTCAAAAACCGGATCTAGAAAATATTTCGATGGAAGAATTGCTCAGCGAAAAAAAAATTATCCCGAAAACAGTCTTCATATCGCTTTTGCACAAAATCTTGTAAAGTATAATTATTTGACCATGTTTATCTATTATTGCTGTATATAATATTTATAATAATAATTATATTTATATTCTATATATTAAAAATATATAATTACAATCCCAAATATTAAACACTTTTCTCTCAGTGCATACCTAAATATAAAAATAGATTGCACTGCGATTATAAACAATTTTATCGAAATAAATTATGTATAGTAATGTAACTCACGTATAAGATTGCTAATAAATGACAAAACGTTAGAGGCTGATGGTTTTCAGATTTAAACAGTCTGTTGCAATTGCGGATGCAAATGGGTTAACATGATTTTGCGAGGCATAGTACCTGGAGATTACATGATGAATCCATAGAGGCTAATAAAACATGATGTAATATTGATGTGTGCTGCAGTTTCTACTGTATTAAACCGTTAATGACAGTAGTCTCGATAAGTGCATCGTCAAACGGATCTCCGTAGAAGAGGCCGACTACATTAAACAATTAATACCGCGAGATCTGAACATCTTGCGCGTCGTATTTAATCTTATGGATATTGCAATGCCGAGTGAATAGGAGATTGGGAAGTAAACCGGGATTATTAAATTAAGAACTCTCAGTGACCCACTTCCACTCACTTGAATTTACTCCGCTAACTCTTCGCGCCGTCAAAAAGGAGCGTCTCTTATCCGCCACCGCTATATTTTCTCCGAGAAGCAGGGGCGCCCCGAGGATAAAAAACGAAAAAAAAAACCCTATAAACCGATTCGCATTCTCATCAAAGTCCGTTCAAAAGAAGTCGAAACGATTCGAAATCCGCTCTTATTCTTTTTTTTTATTCTACTTTTTTCGTGCTCCAAAAAAATTAAAGATTGCATTCCACAAAATATTAATTTTTTCTCGGAAACGACAATTTTAAGTAGTAATTTCAAAGTTAAATTAAAAATGTATATCTCCCCGCTTTCGCTCCGCACACGCCTGGCTCTGCACGCGTGTACGCGGATGCAGCAGTACTGACCTTGACTTTCCGACATCTCCGGGCGGCGATGGATCTTGACTGTCTCCTGAGTGCCTCCAGAGGAAAGCGTTGCCTTCAGGATCCGCGCCGGCAAGGTGCACCACCACGACACAACGGAACCACCACCACTTTTTGCCCCCCCTGCGTTAAAGCTTCAAAAGATAAAAGCTGATAACTGGTTCCCAGTTCCGCTCGCGTGCAACCGATTAAACGCGATCTCACGAGCGAGAGAGGTGATCACTGAGAGTCGAAGATTACGAGGAAAACGAGAGGATGTAAAAAAATTGCGACCGGCTGAGGTTACAGTGCATTCGACACGAAGGAACGCACGCGGACGCACCACTCTTTCTCGTTCGTTCTCCCGCAACGGCACCAACGAATCGGTCGCGGCGCGGCTTGGGCGGTGACTGAGCGCGAGGACCGAGGCGTCCCGGCACTCTCTCGGAATCACCCCCACTTCCACCCTGGTCTTCTCGCGATATCATACGGACAGATAGATAATATCTGCCGGAATTCCCTCTCCTCTCGCACCCTCCTGTTACCAATATGATTGGAGAGTTTCCCTTTTGTTGCTTTTCGAAGATTGTTCTTAACCCTTGTCTTTTATTTGATATTTAGTCCTAACAATACAGAAGACTTCATGTCTTTTATGTGACATTAATATTTTATAAATCTATTGAATAATTTTCTACTTTTCAACTTGCTACGAAAAAATATGTAATAATTTTCGTTAAGAAGAATTCTTTAAAAAAAAAAATGTAAAAAGTAGTATATTTTTTTCTTAGTTAAAAGGATAAGAGATTAGATATATATAAATTAAAAAAATAATTTATTAAACAGAGATATTAATTCATTTCTTATATTAGCATAAGTAATTAAATTTTGCGAAACTCTCTGAATATGTATAAAATATATAGTGTTGAAATGTGCGTAAAATAATATTTTTCAGCATCTTTTAAAAAGTAATGTTAAAATCAATGTTAAGTGTTAATTAAACACTATGCTTTAATCTGAAACTGTTAGTGTATCGTTAAAGTTGTAATTATTGATTTAATATTACATATATAAATTTATGCTGATATAAATCCTGATATAAATTATATAAATATACATATATATTCAATAATTTTTTTTTATACTATATATATGTAGTATAAAGATTAATATTCTAATTAAATTATAATATTATTATAATTATAATTAAATATATAAATTAGAACCATTTACATAATCCATTATTAAATTTAGAATGATATTAAATTATTCATTTGATGTATCGGTATCTATCAATCTTCTTATCTAAAAAATGCATTATGCATAATATAAGCTTTTATCATTTATTTTTATCGTAAATTATAAAAGCAATAAAATCGAATATAATATGTATATATTAATTTTGTCATACATTAATACGTTCAACCATTTTTATATTTGCAGTTTCTAACTAAATGGTTATAATAAAAATATTTTTTAAATATATGTAAATCTCCCATTGATATTTCTATTCAGACAACTTAATCTTTCAGTAAATAGATTTAAGCTCTTAGAACTTTGCTTAGAAAATTAATATCTGTCATGTTAAGCAAGCCTATCTTTATGTCAGTATAGTGATCGACCATATTCACTACGGAATTCAACAACTTACCGATTATTAATATACGACACGATGAAGTATTATTAATTTTTTATGGTTTAGTTCGTACAAACAAAATCATACGTAAAATAACATTAACGAGATGTTATTAAAAGCCACCAGTTCAGGATGAATTTTCATAATAAGCGAGCTCGCAGATAATTCAATATTATTGATTGTCTTCGATCAGCAGAAATGCAATTTCAGAAATATATAATACACTATACAGTAAATATTTATAACTACGAAACATGAGAATTTATAAATTGTAAAATAAATTTTGCTGAATATCCAGATATTCATCAGACCGGAAACCATTGATAATATCAGGACTCTTCAATATATCTCTATAAGTAAAATATCGCACGATTATTGCGAGATACAATACAACGTCCAGATTGAATTATCTTTAAAAGCTATTGAGCAAATTAAATATAAACAAATATCTTATTTTAATTCCAATAAATAATTAAAATTAATTTTAATTTTACGTTAAAAAATTTAGACACATTTCACACAAGAATTTTAATATTACTCAAACATGTCATTAATCAACTCTGTGAGATAATCTATTTATACAATTTTTCTGTTCCACAATGAAATATTTGTTGAATCCGCGATATTTCACTTTATTTCGAGCCTTGATTCATAAATCAAGCTACCAATAAATGAACACGCTATATATAAAAGATTAGAATAAAATACCATCACAAGAATAAATGCAATAAATATTCATAAACGCATCTCTCTTTTAAATAAAATAATTGACATACGTTATATCAACTATAAAAAATATTTACTGTACTTATTTCATTTAGTGATATATGTATATAACAAAATCCTTTTTAATTTTTGTTTGCTGATTAATATCTTTCTACGAAATATTTTCTATCACCGTTCTGTATACCAATACATATATTTGCAAATCTATCTCATAAATTATAAGTAATTAATGTATCTCATAATTAGTGTTCTATTAATAATCGAATAATAAAATACCCAAACGTGTAACAATAAATAATGTAGAATAATGCAGACATCCATAATCGAAGCATAAATAATTGTGTTAAGATCTAGAATTAAAGATTTATTCTAATATGTTCTAGCCCACTCATTTTAAGACATAAATAAATCTGTGAGACATTAAATTTTACATTACTGTAAAAAAAATATATATATAATTTAGATATACCACATTCATGCAATTTTTTTTCACAAATTCATCATTTCACAATTTAAAATAAAATTATTAATCACTCACAGTAAGATGTGCAACAGCGGAGTTATAAATTGCGTTCGTTGAACTGTAACATAAAAATATATACAAATTATTACAATGCTTAAGATAATTAATATTCTAAAAAATAATTGTTACGCGTATTAAGTTTTTTATTTGTTTTTCAATAGAATTTATTAAATTATATTATAACTTTCTCGAAAATATAAAAAAAAGTTGAAATTTTATAAAATAAAATTTAAGTCTTATATGCATATAATTTAAATAATGTAAATTCTAAACATATTAGAAATATATAGATTATAGATAAATGTCCATTTATGAAATTAGTTGTGTATATGCGTATGTGCGGGTGTCTGAGAAAAAATTATACTTAATACATATTATAAGTATTTTATTACTTCAGATACCTTTTTAAAGTACATGACATCAAAAGCTTTTATTGCAGTGTTACACAATAATGCAAAATGGAGCATGATATGTTATGCGAATGTTTCTCCGGAGCAAATTATTAATTTCACATACATACACAATACACAATAATGGAAAAAAGGAAGTGATACATAAAATAAAATTATATATTTACCCCACGTTGCTCCGCCATTGCCCGATACCTCCCAAGCCTCCTCCTCCTCCTCCTCCTCCTCTCAGATTCCTCGTTGCACTCACATAAAACACACTCGCGAAACACGACTAATTACGATGGCGAGCGAACTAATTATCGTAATACGATGATCGCGCGCGCGCAAAACTTTATACTCCGAAGTTAAAATTGCGCGAAGTTAAAAACGCGATGACTTATACACCGAAAACGCAATGTCCAAGTTCTTTCTTGAAACTCCACTGGAATCAACAACATAAATTACGTTAGTTGACTTAAACAAATGTAATATCCAAATTCTATAGTAATGTATAAAATAATATTTCAAAAAATAATTATTACACGATTTTTTTTATTTGCCCTCGAATATAGATATTTATTAAAAGAATTATGCAATTGCATAATTGCAATCTTAAATGTATTGAATATGTAATATATAAATTATGTTCATTTACAAAATTAATTATATATGAATTTTTTATTTTACATATGATAATGAAAAATAGATTGCACGATATTTTACATAACACTTCTATTATCAAATGCAATATACGTTTTCGCAGATACGATATACTAACTAAATAAACAGTTTATACGTGACGGTATTTCATTGCTTAAAACATTCGAGCTAGCAATTCGCGTGTTAAGTCTGGCACATGATATGTATGTTTTCTTGCTGGATTGCTTGCGTTTAAGTAAATTACTAGAAATTTTGCGTTCTGCAATGTGTAGTGCTATTCTAATAAAGATGTGCAAATAGTTTGAATTCGAAAACAAATTGAATCACAGTGGATTTTATTTGATTCATTTTCGAATCTGAGAAATTTGAAATCAAATAAGTTCGAAATTTCAAACCATTAGTGGTTCAATTTTATTATTCAATTTTATTTCCTTCATTTATGCACCCTATATTTCTAATGCGACTAGTCTTATACCAGCGCGTATACCAATTCTCGAGGATATACGTGCACTCATTCATGTACCATCGCGTTTATTTCATAATTCTTATTTTATGAATAGAAATATATTATTCAAATATTTTATATTAATTAAAAGAAACTAATAAAAACTAATTTAAAAGTAATATAGTATTTTCAGTAACGTGTTCTATATTTTTAAATAAACGAGAAAATGAATCATTTTCAATTTACATCAGATATTATTAAAAAGTAAACATCATAACAAAAGTGTATTAAAAAGACGTCTTCTAATAAAAAATAAGACACTTATTTTTGTGTTAGAAGGCGTCTTTTTAATACACTTTTATCATACTGTTTACTTTTTGGTAATACCTGTAAATTAAAAATGATTTTTCTTATTTATTAAAAAAATTTAGAATGTGTTATTGAAAATACTTTATAAATTAGCTTTTAATGTAAATCCGAGAAAATTTGATTCAAATTCGATTCGTTTTTTAATCAGAAAGATTCGATTTAATGTAAAAATTTCAAATTCAATTCGTTTTCGAACATTTTATATCAAAGATTCGATTCGATCACAAATGCTTGATTCGCACACCTCTACTAGCAATTTATTATCCAGTGGGAGCAATCCAGCGGTAAAAAATACCACTGGCTTTACTCTGCAC